CTAGAAGAGAGCAATGCTTGTTTCTATCCAAAAAAAAAAAAGGAGGCAGGGAACAGAACCCAGAGAACTATTGACTAGTCAATCTACACCAAATTTGCAGATGAGATAAACATTCAGAAGGAGGGAGAGAGACAGGGAAGGAAACTTAATTTTCTAGAAAACATAAATTAATTTCAAAATAGATCTGATAGGATAGAAAAGCATTCTGTAAAAACAACAGAATTAAATTTAACATTTGGAAAAATGAAATTAAATGCAATGATATAGGGTGAAGGATAATAATACTTGTGAAAAAGTTCTTGGAATCACAACTGAATGCAAACCGAATATGAGTCAGCATGTGACATGGCTGCAAAAAAGGCTGCATTAACAGAAATATAATTTTCAAGACTATATTATGCTTTACATCAGATCCTGCATCAGATCCTGTATCTAGTTCAGAACACAATCATCAACTGGAATCATCTACTCAGGAAGGAGCAGAATTACTATAACATGGTGCCTCCAACCCTGCAAGCAGTTTAACATCATTATACATGGTGAAGGGTATTAAGTGCTTCTGAGAAGTCCAATCGGGCAGTGCAAGTGAAGCTAAGCAAATACAGTTCATAAAGTTAGAGTAGATAAGCCATGCAACACTCCTGTATCCAATTTGCAGGTCTCAGCACTCTTGAGATCATGCTTCTAAAAGTAGCAAAATACCAACAAAATGCACCCATTTCTAAGTGGTTTAAGAGTGGAAAATCGAGCAGTTTGCCTCTAGGAGGCCTTCTCTTTCCATCCTCTCCTTAAAAAAATCTCAAAAAAGAAAAAGAGGCTAAAAAGAATGCTCATACCCTCCACATAGTATCACAGCATCACTGGATGGCCTCCTGCAGCCTTTCAGAAAGTTAAAAAGTTCAGCTGCATTCCCCCAAACCTTTAAACTTTACCTTCTCCAGGTTTAAGGGAAGAAAACTGTGACGTTCATCAGAGAGGAATGTCATGAAATTTGAGACAACAATGACGTAAGTTTCAATAAAATCTTATTAGCTTTGACAGATTTATATCAAAAAGCTGTACTGGAGCTAACAAAGTTACAAGCAAACTTCTAATTTTGAATAATAAATTAAAACTAGTAAATTCAATACAATTACATTTACATGCATTAAAGGTTATTCAATACATCATGATATTAAGCTGATACAAAGTTCATAGGAAGCTGCCCAATTCTATCTGAACCAAGTTATCAAGCTATTCATCCATCATCTCCAGGGGCTTACATAGTCAATCTACAGAGCAATTCATCACTTCCTCTTTTCCTTCCTGACAGTGGAAGGAAAGATGCAATGCTCTTGCAGAAAAATAGTAGATTCAAACACAAAGTCAAAACAATCCATAGATTTTTCTCTTGCAGATTTTATTGGGGTGGGGGAATGAGATCTAAAAAGATCCCATATAGAAATGCAAGAATCTGTTACTTTGCCCATATGTGGACTACATGGAAAGATATAATTCTTTGTTTTTTCCTAAAAAAAAAAAAAAAAAAAAAAATCCACCAAAAAAAAAAAAAAAAAAAAAACACA